AAGTGGCCTTAGCCCTAAAAGGCAAACCCAATTTATCCAGATCGCGAAAATACAAGAGGCCACACAATCTTGGTCTTCATATCCCAGATTTTTGTAAAGTTGATCTAAAATCTGCCTATTTTTAGATTCCTGTGAATCTATATCAAATAGAGAAAAGGGCCGTCATCACCCCTTTAGGTTTGTTCGAATTCCCCAGGACGCCTTTTGGACTTAGAAACGCCGCACAAACGTTTCAAAGACTAATGGACGAGGATACTCGTAATCTAGAGAGAGTTTTAGTCTACATTACCGGCATACTGATTGTTAGTGGCGATAGGGACAGCGCAAACAGCACTTGGTTACATTGTTTAAAAGACTATCCGATCATCATCTCGTAATTTCCCCTGAAAATGTGTTTTTAACGTCTATTTCTTGACCTTCCTTGAATATCCTATTGATGCTCACAGCATTCTACAAGTCAAAGAGAGGGTTTTGAGTATTATATATTTTCCAATTAAATGCACAGTCATAATTTGAAAAAGTTTTCTTGGCGTGGTAAATTTTTACCGTCACTTCATTTCCAGATGTACAGAAATGCTTAATTCTTTAGAGTATCTAAAAACTCCGAAAAAAGATATCTCCCTATCTGAAGATGCGCAGCGCGTTTTCGAACATATTAAATCAGCCGAAGTGATCATCTTGGCACATCCAGATTCAGATGCTAATCTTTACCTCGTGATTGATGCCTCAGACCGGGCTGTGGGTGGTGCACTCTATCAGGTTGTTGATAAAGCTCCTCAGCGTCACGCTTTCTATTATCGAAAACTCACTCCAACAAAGTAGAGATACAGCACCTTTTGCCGCGAACTCTTAGCAGTCTATTCATCAGTGAAATACTTCAAACATGATAATTGGAAGACGATTTCACGTTTTAACTGATCACAAAACCCTTATGCGGAGCCTTTAAAAGCTTTAAAGACAAGAATTACCAGCGCAAATTCCACCAAATGGACTACATCACACAATTCACCAGCGATGTGCGATATGCAAAAGGAGAAGCCAACATCGTCGCAGACACCCTGTCCCGCATTTACATGGTTTCTGTGGTATCTGAGGCTAGAATTGATTATCATACCATGGCAGAAGCACAGGAACGGAAACGCAGTCAAATCACCGCTCGCCAGTGGCCCAAATTGACGATAACTCAGGTAGAGATGCCTCAGGTTTCTAAGATCTGGTGTGATTTTTCACCTGGAAAACATCGTCCTTTTGTCCCTTTCTGCCATGCTAAAATTGGTATTCCAAGCCGTTCATGATTTGAAATATACAATCCAGGCCTACTTGCGTCCAGAAAACTAATCACAAGCATTTTTGTCTGGCCAGGGATGCAAATAGACATGGACAAGTGAACTAAAGCCTGCCTAGTTCGCCAAAATGATAAGGTGCACATACATACCAAAACTCCTATTGTGAGTTTCGAGCCTGTTTCAGAGAGATTCAACCACATCCGAATGTATATCGTTGGTCCCTTTCCGCCTTCTAAGGAAAACCGCTATCTCCCTACCATTATGGACCGTTTCACGCGATGGCCAAGAGCTATTCAAATGCCAGAGATACAGGGAGAAACGGTCACGAGAACCTGTCATTCACTGGGTTTCAAGGTTTGGCACACCGGCAGCCATAACAACCGATTGAGACAAGCAGTTCGAATCCCAACTGCCAAACTTTCCAAATTATTGGAAAAGAAAAGGATTCACAGGTGAACCTGCCACATACAATCTAATGGATTGGTAGAACGATTCCATCGGCAGTTAAGAGCCTGTCTAAATGCCAGAGGAGCCCTGAAAGTCGGAAGTACCTAAAGACCGTATGTCTTGTAAATATAGCTACATCAGAAGCGACCGAATATTGCCACAACTAGCCTCACCATACAATGACCCCTTTCGCGTCATCTTCAGACACGATAAAAACTTTACTTTATTAATAAAAGGCTATCGTGAAATGGCAGAAGCATTCAGACTCAAGCCTGCAAAAATTGGCGAATCAGAAAACATCCTAATAACAAAGGGCACATGGAGCAATCCTATATTGTGTAGAAAAAGAACATAATCCAGACACCCTATGCAGATAGGAAAAGGGTCAATTTTGCATTGGGAGCCTAACTCACTGACGATGCCGACTAGTATAAAGGCGAAACGTCTGGGAATGTACCACGTTTCGGGTCCGACTTTTAAAATCATCATTAATACAATGGACTCCGTGACTAGATGCGTTTATCTAGGTCTTCCAACCAAAATAACCAAGTTGCGAAAACGAGGTCAAACAAATTCTATACAACGAAAGGAGACAGCGACCACACTAAAAGCCACACCATCTTGGTCTTCGATCTCATTTATTCTTTTTTTTTCAAGTCTATCCCTTTCGGGTTAGTCTCTGAAGTGGAGTATTGTAGTGACTTTAATTCACTGTCAATCTGACAACATCTCTCACAATTATCACGCAACTCATGAAACACTTAGCGAAGCAGGACTGTCCCGCCTTGATTAAGCGAACCAAGTCACCGCATCGAGCCTCTCCGTTGGAACCAATCAGAACGTGGCGGAGACTCCCTGAGACTCCCTATGCAAACCGTAATCATATATTGAGAAAAAACTAACCTGTGTTCGTAAGGAAGGTGACGCATAAGCTGCCAAATTTCCTCTGCCAGACAGCAGTTGGAATTGGTTTGGCTAAGCGCAGGTAGCAGGACCTCATCGAGCAGATTAAAGAAGGCTTGATAAACGGCGTCAACAACAGGATGCTGAAGGGTAGCATTGGTGGAGGAAGACCAGGTCTGATTAAGATTGGAGTTTGGAAGACAAAATTCCGCTTCTAATGTTTTTTCTGAGGACTAGAAAAGATTTTGAGAAATACAAAAGTAGTCCCAATATATAACGCTTATCTTTAAAAAAGATAAAGGGAATGTAGGATAAACCGTTATAATGCATAATGCACTAGGTAAATACGAATTTAAACATAATAGTCGACAACAGCAGTAAACAAATTAATATTAAATAAATTCTATGTTTAAAACTATCTCATAAAGAAGAAAAATATAGTCATATGCAAATAGTACGTTTGTAGTGATGATAGCGATAAATTTAATTTTACATAAATTTAGCGCATATGATGAATGAGTGTGCTCAGAAAATATGGGCGGAATAAAAACAATGAGACTAGTAGAAGTTTGAACCTCGTTTATATTTCAGCAGCATTTCCAATAAGAATTGAAGACAGGTCTTCTTTTAAGTGGCACTTCGTCACAAGATTTGTGAGTGGTAGGGCAGATGTGACTTGTAAGCCAAACCAGGGCTATTCGAAATGATATTTATAGTAAATAAAGATCTTTTAAAATTATCAGTCGATCTTAATTAAAAATTAGAGCCCCATAAGTTCGCAAAAGGCTATATAAGAAGTAATAAATAAATTTCCAACAATAGAATAAGTAAATAATAAAATGGCATTGTAGTCAAGCAATCAAAAAAGAATTTATAAGCAAGATCTCAAATTATTAAAATTCGATTAAATATCAAATAAGTCGCCTCATAAAAATCCTCACAATAAAAATAAATTAAGGGCCCGGACTTGCTTAGAAAGTCAGATTTGTCATGTTGCCAATCATCAACAGGGACTATGTAGTAGAAACTTGTTGACATTTGACGCACAATACATAGTTTCACATATCTTTGATAGTGTTGACAATATCTGACTTAGGCTGAAATTGTAATGAATCTTGGCTAAGGTAACCTTTCTCGGAGCAAGTCAAAGTGAAATTACACGTTGTTTTAAGTAGATATAAAATTTTAAAGGAATTTCATTTAAAAAGTAGAAACAGAGAACTTAAGCGAAGATAAGCTGGGTAAAATTAACTTAAGTAAACAAAACACCTATGGTAAATTAGGCGTTGTTAATTCGGATGGATTCAATATCTAAGAACTGATGGAAATAAAAGTTATGCATGCGTTATCAGTGTAGACGAATATTTGAAAAACGGTATAAATAAATAAATCAACTTCAGAACACCCTATTAAGTGAAAAAACATTAAATTAGCATATCAATTTTGTAGCATCCGATATAGGTATATGTCAAAGAGCGTATTGCGAAAGATACACAGTAATTTAATGAAGACTAAAATATGTTTCATTAATTAACATTGTTAGCTGTAAAAAGTACCCAAAATACATAAGTGTTCAGGGAAAAGATTATATTTCAGAAATTGAAAAGGAAAAAAATAAGAAAACAAAAACTTTGATGGGAGTGGTTGCAAATTACAATATTTCTGAGTAGGAGTTTTAAAAGCTGGCAATCATATAAAAATGGAAAGTAACCAAAATTTTGAATAAAAAATAGCCTTAGAGGAATGCACCTAGTCCGTAGACCATTGTATGCATGATGATTTCCAAAGTCGTACCGTGGACGTGGGACATTCACAGACGTTTCGCCTACATCGTCAGTTTTGCCATTCTTAACACCATACTACAACTAGTCAAAGAGACAAGTGAAGCCGATCCTTTGACCAAACATGTGCTAAACAGTTGTGGCATACCTAATTCTGTCCTGGGCTATTCACACTTACCATATCCTCGTATCACGCCTTCACGGTTACAATTTTAACCGTGCTTGTTAAGATGTAGTGTGGATGCCATTTTGAGTGGCTTTCATGAGAACCCTCCACACTCCACACTGGCGTTCTCACCCCACTTCACCCTTATGCTGGGAATGTTGATCAGTCTGCTATATTGTTACGCAGTCCTCCTTACCTAGGTTTTATCAAAGTCCCCATCTTGCTGCGTAGAATCCGTCTGCTATCTCCCTGGTTCAGGTATTTCACCTGACCCCTGCCGCCCTAAAAATGGCAAGATTCACTGACGATGCCAACTACGATACCGGCGAAACGTCTGAGAATGTACTACGTTCGCGGTCCGACTTTGGAAATTATCATGCATTCAATGGACTCCGGACTCCGACCCCGATGACTCCTTGCTGAGCTTTCATATGTCATGCGATGGACATCGTCAGAGCCAAAAACCATTATTCACGAAGAAAATCACCAGAAAACACTAAACCAAGAAAGGTGGCCAACTGAGCTACTACTTACTTCTTATACCTAACTTTGCAATCTTAATCACGCATACCGTGATTTGGTTGGCTGACTTATGCTTGTCCTATAAGCATGTTAGTGGGTCAGAGTGATGCCTCTTATGTATGGGTCAAGTCTCCCCCACATAGACATTGCCACATGAGCACCAAACCTTATAACCTGATTTGCAAGGGAAGTCGGAACATTTTCTAAAAGAAGGCATGATAGACGAAAGTGTTATTATTTCTTTATAAATTCTATTAATACTCTATTTCCTTAATAATTTGCCCATCTTTCTTGAAAACATGCGATTCGGTAGCATTAGGAATCTTGCCGAAAAGTTGTTTAATTCCTTGTTTTTTCCAAAATAATGGTTTTCCATTACCCAAATTCTCAATATTTTAAAATAGACAACAATTAATCCTAGAAGATAATTGTTATCAGCCAAGAATTTTCTTAGCCTTTCTATCTCCTGTTCTTGATGATTTACATCTGCTAGATGTAAACTCCTTAGTATCATTGATTTCATTACGCTTTCCTCAACATTATAAGTATGGTTCGAGAAGAAATTAAGAAGAAAACTGGCATTTGTGGGTTTCTTATATGCATAACTACCCAGTTTACACCCTTTTTTAATAAGACATCTTAAAAGGGTAACTTACTGTCCTATACTAACTCCATAGTGAATTTAGTTTCCTTATCTACTCTATTCACTAAACCAAG